TTTTTTCAACGGACAAGCTTTTTTGAATTGGCTGTATATCAAACGTTGTTAAATATCTCAAGAAAGAAACAAGCTATTTAAGATAGTGTGCATGGCAAAGTGTTTTAGTTGATAGTCGTTTTGAATACTTTTTAATATGCAGTCATAAAAAATGATGTAAAATGGCTGACTACATTTCACAACTTTACATTTTCAAGACTTTATGTTTTCGTAGTTCTTTAAATTAGATTAAAAATTTTGGCTTCATTGTACACATTTTAAGTGTATTCATTAATGCCGTTCTGCTTATGTTGAAGTAAAGGGCTGCGTTCCGGATCGACTGTCTTTTTGTCGGTTTCCTCCGGCCTAAAACACAAAATAAAATTATAAGTTATAATTTGCTGTGATATTTAAGAAATAGAAAATATTTTTGGGAGTTTGGGAAAATGAGAAATAATCACATTTATTTCGAATGATTCAAGACGAATGACTCAAATTTGTACTCCAGATATATAGAGAGAGCTCGCTGTGCTCACCCAGTATTGTACAAGAATATCGAGGGTACCATAGGTACAAGAGCTGCGATACTGAACCATGTTGTGATGTGAATGGCGGGATGAAAACCAAACGGTGATTCACGGAATATGGTCCAGAAAAGAAATCCCAAAGGAGTCACGACAGCCTGAAAAAGAACTAGAAATATCAGCCGTAAAGTTTTTGGCAGGGTTCTGCCCAGGACAATGAGAGTGCTGGGTATTTGTAAACATGAAATATTTGTAAACATGAAAATTATCATCGCCATTTGGAAATTTCTAATTATTACAGTGGTAGATGCCACAAAATGTATCGCAGACGCGATAATTTAACTCGGATAAACACAAATTTTCTTTACAAAAATTTCAAAATGGCGACGATAACTTTTATGTTTACAAATATTTCTGGCGTGTTTTTGTGCTGGGCGGAAGAGTCCGTTTTGGATTGGTGCTGGGCAGTACTATTAAGTGCTGGGCACTGCGGCCCGCCGCAGCCCACCGTGGGCAGAACCCTATGTTGTTACCATGCAGACAAATTGGAAAATGGGAACGGTTGAATATAACCTCAATGGACCATGTGCATTATAGACTAAATTTTGATCTAGACAAGTCTAGACAAAATTAGTAATATTCCAAAGTTTCGTTGCGAAATGTTGTAAAATGTGGATAATATAGCCTTGCGAAGTTTGCCGTTTTTCAGTCATTTTGTATTACGCACGGGAAATTGACAGCCCAATCGGGGGTTGGGGCATCAATTTCCCG